GTACACTTTAAGCCGTATTTTCTTGTGACAGTCGAAGAAGGAGGGACGAATCGACGAAATAATCGGTTAACTTTACGGGAGATTTTCGCGGGGCTTGCAGGACTAGTACCTTTGAGGTAGCACCTTTCCCATCCGTGTGTGTCGGGTAGGGCTGTGCGAAATGGCACTCGGTTCTAAGCCCGATTTCTGCAATCGGCACACGTGATCGTTAGTGACCAGCTACAAAATCGATGCGTGAATCGGTTTAAATAACGATTTGGAACACTTGGTGGTACACAGTGACTTCGATAATGCCTTCCATTTCCGACTAAGTATTTTGGCTCGAGCGTAATGCGTACATATATTTTTTTATCATGACTGTTGGCTTTGAAGAAAAATCAGCAACTCAGCCACATTAAGTGCAACGGTAATATACACGATGAATATACATCTGCATTATTAATGCTGCACTTAATGTGACTGAGTTGTCGATTTCTCTCAAAATTAACAGTCATAATACAAAAATACATAGAAATATTGCGTCGAAGCCAAAATACTCTAATCGGAAATGGGAGCAATTGCTGGAGTTCTGTGTACTCAGCTCATTTGTTGCTCAGTTATGCACAGCATCACATATTTTATATATGTGTGTGTGTGTGTGTAACTATACATATAACTGTAACAAATAAATGAGTACCAATTCACGCATCGATTCCGAAGTCAGTTATTCAATGTTAACGATTACTTGTACCAAATTCAGAAACCGGATTCAGAAACGAGTAGCGCTGTGCACAGTCCTAGTGTCGGGTTTCAAAAAATTCTCTCGGAATGGATGGGACATGATTGGTTATATGTTACCGTAGATTATCAATATTTCTCGAAAACCTAATCGATACTTGAAAAACAGGAGAGACGAACAACTGACACGGCACACAATTTTTCCAAACGAACGGCGAACAAAGTTTGTTAAAAAATAAAAAATATATATAATATATCTACACACATTCACTTCTCTTAACGTATAAAATTATTAGACTAGGAATTATGCGCGCGTGTGCGCGCTCAAGAAAGCTCTCGGATTAAACTATAATTATGCTCGCTTCGCGAAAATTCAAGAGGTACTCCAATTCATTAGTCTACTCTAACCGAACCTGCGCGGAAACCGCATACTGAAAATATATGAAGATACTTCTTAACAAGTCGCTCCCTGCTCGAAAACGCTTCTCTCTCGAATCAATGACTAGCTCGTTTTACCGTTTATCCTGTCTAGCCATAATCAGCCGCTAAATTTTCCAACACCGTATACGTTATCGTGCCATCGTTATCATCGCTCGCGTCGTCCAATTACCCGCTTTTCTCTCTCTCTCTCTCTCTCTCTCTCTCTCTCTCTCTCTCTCTC